GGTTGCTGGTAAAAAGAGAATGATACCCTGCTGAACAACATATTAGGCATGAAAAAGTGGTCAGTTGGCTTAGCTTTTAATATAAAGGTGGTCAATGTAGATTGCTCAATATTTGCTGGATTAATTAGGCTTCGTTTGGCTCACATTTGGGAATACTACTATTAGTATTCCCAATAAAGTTAAACAGTAAAATTGCAAAAACTCACAATATTCTTCAATATTATTCAACTTTTTTTAAACTCCTTAAATTTGTTAATTTAATTAAATACTTGTAAATATTTTTTTAGAAATTGCAAAAAAACCCCAGCAACCATATTTACTAGATTCCGGCCACCACCGCCGTAAAATGGCCGGAATCTAGTATAATGGCGCACTATCGGCTGAATCTGGCTGGTAGTGCGACGATCTAGTCTTTTCTGGCCAGATCCACGATGGATCTAGCCGGAAAAGGCCAGATCTTTGGTCGTAGTCAGTCGTCAACGATGGCCAACACATGGTCGTCGTTGACCATCAACGACGGCCGTATCTTTGACCGTCGTTGACGAGCAAATTCGGCCAGATCTGGCCGTCCATGCCCAGATCTAGCAGTAGATCTGGCCTTTGCCCGTCAGATCCACTGTAGATCTTTGTCGGCCAGATCCACCGTAGATCCGGCCATATCGGCACAAAACCGGTAAAATCCAGCCAGTCATGCGCCGATACAACGACTCCGGCCTCCCTCCGGTGGTGGTGGCCGGCTGTCCATATTTAATGGGTGGGTTGGGGGTGTTTTTGTTAATTTTTAATGTTTTATTATAAGGGTTTTTAGTAAATAAACAAACATGGGGGGGTGTTTAATAAATAAACAAATATAGAGGATATTTTTATTTATTTTCAAATCTTACATCGTAATACTCGCCTAATTCAACTTTTTTTAACTTTTTTCCTAAAACTTTTCTAAAAAGTGTAAAAAAGTGAACCAAACGGAGCCTTATTATCTGAACTCTTATGCAGTTGCAAGATGCGGGATGCTGGACCGATGCTGCAACATTAGCTGCCACACATTTGAAGGGATCTGACTATGCAAGGTTTATTATTCCTTTATCATGAAACATATTTGAGGTTTTTTGTGTTTGAATTATATTTGTATCGACCAAGCTTCTTTCAATGTTGTTTCTATATGTGAAAACCTAATTATGTGAATCCATTCTGTGCCGCAAGCTCATCCATAGTGTTTGCATCAGATCAACATGCTGTTCCTTAGTCAGGCAGTTAAATGGGGAGACAATTCTTCAACCCCAAAAGCAAAAATGGCTTTCCGACCATGGATTAGTTGCTTATATCTTCTAGATTAGACGAACAAGTTCCTGAAATTGTTTCCCTTTATTCTTTGTCATAGTAAATTAGTATTATATTTGGTTTAAAATGAAAACTTAAAGTACTTGGTAACGCCTTACTTCTCTGTTTAGCCTCATACAGATGTGCCCTAGAATAATTTGTGGTAGGTAAAAAAATATTTTCTTTTAGCTTACTTTTCTGGTGGTGGTATTTTACAAGTGTATCGTATAGAGGATTCAAAATTCTACTCTCATTGCGCATCATAATCTGTTATTACTTAATTGACGAGATGCTTATAAATTAGATTACCATGATTTCATCTTTTGTTTCTTGTAGGGTTTTGCAGAGGTGGGCCGATCATGTCCTTCACGTTGAACACAATATCTGGAGGTACCACCATTTTTATTTCCATATCTTCCCATTCTAATATTTATTTCTGTAATGTTCTGAAGTTGTAGTGGCCCAATTCAGGGCTCTTATTTTGTATGTCGCAGCTGGTGCATTGCAGGAGGCATTGGCAGCACTTCGTGAGACACAACAACCTTACACAGCTGCTATGTTTGTACTTGCTTGTCGTGAAATTTATACAGAAATTACCACCAATTTAGAAAATTCAGATGATGAATCTGGGTCATCAAGCAGCAATATGTCGGTCAATTTACCAGGGTTAATCCAGAAATCGGATTTATTGCAGTCGGTGAAATACTTGGACAATACCAAAGAACATTGGTGCACCTGTGCCATGGACTCTCACCATATTAATGACTGATGAAAGTCCGGGGTCGCATTGCATCATACTAGAAGTTTTGGTGAGACTTTGGTTTCCTCAGTGAGCCGGAAGGGTGGGCATTTATTGAGTGTACAGTTATGGCAACTCCTATGCCAAATTCTCTGGCAATCGTGGGATGTTTCTAACATGTGCAGTTATCCTCTTGAGAAAGAGTCTCGCATTTTTTGCCCATATTGCGACTTTCTGGATTGTAAGAAAACAAAAATGGCGGAATGGCTTATACAAAGTTGGGTAAGAACATTATTAAAGATGAGTGATTTGTTTGTAGCTCCTGTAAAAATTTTTTTGGCGGCCACGGTCTCAAAAGGCATATGCTTTTGATGATTGGCTGGTGATCATTCTGTATATTTACATATAGAAAAGCGGATTTTGCTTTCCGAAAATTAATTGTTTTGAGAGATAAGATAAAATAGAAAAAATCAGCAAACCATGTACTTTATATTTAGTCACCCATTGTGGCATATTTGCTGATACAATCTTTCCTATGTTCATTGTTTCTCTTTCCTTGTTCTGGTTTCACACACCCGCTTAACATTTTGTGCATTCACCATTTCACTTCCAACATTTAACTTATATTTAAAAAGGGATAATTTCAGAAATTACCCTTAAACTTTTGGTATTACTCATTCATACGGTAGCTTTGTCAAATTTAATTAAAAAACTATCCTTGATGACAGACGCTGTCCAACTCTGTTTGTATGGTAAGGGTAATCTTGTAATTTTACAGAAATGTATAGAAAGAATAGATTAAAGAGATTCAAATTCACAAAATCAAACCATTTCTAAATCTACTCTTCCAAAATTAAGAACTCCTACAGAGATTCAAATCCATTCTTTCTCTTTCTTTTTGTTATTTTTCTTTCTCTTTCTCTCCACAATAATCACCTATTGATGGACTAAATCCTTAGATTTTGTGGCTGGTCAGTGAATTCTCGAGCTTTGGATGTTACAGTCATTGGTGGTGATGGTTGTGCGCCAACATCCTAATGATAGTGGTGGTGATGCTGGTAGAAGCAATAAATGGCGATGGTGCAGGTGCAGCCAACATGTTTTTCTCCTGTTAATGGATCATTTTTGTTCAAGGTTTTTCTTTTCTTTTCTTTTCTTGGATTTGAACTACGAAGCGATTGTTTTGAGCAGAAGGGTGATGGTAATGAAAACGGGTGGTCTCGGAACAAATACTAACCAATTTTATGTTTGTTATACTGTTGGGTTTCTTGCTTTAAGAATTGGTATTTTGTTACTAACTGATGATGAAGATTTTTATTATAAAGGAGTTGAAATATTGAAATAAAGACATTTTTTTCTGTCTATTTGCTTCAAATTTATGAAGTTTAACAATTTGAGAAGGCAAATCAAAATAAAGTTTATTGGGAAGAAGAGGATAAAGGGAGATGCGGTGTAGCTGAATTTCTTAAATATAATATAAGGGGCGTTTGGTTTGAAACATGTTATATCATCTTATATTATTTGATTATCATGTTTTATTGTCAAATAATATAAGATTCTTTAATACCAAAAATAGTTACTTTTAGTAATACTGAAGGTAAGCTTATAACCTCTATTTTCTTAGGTATTATAAAATTATTGGGTTATCTTATTTTTGTTACAGTTTTATCCCTTATTAATAAAAAATTTAGACAATAATGCCTTTGTTTTAAAATTAAAAATCAATTTACATTAATCTACCATTATAATTTTACACTTTGTTTAATTAAGCTTTTGGACAATAATACCCTTATATTTAAAACAAATTGCAAACCACCACCGCTACCTAGCCACCACTATCGGCAACTGAACAACCACCACCAGTCATCGCCGAAAAGTCGTCGGAGTCACTAAATATTGGTCGAGAGTCGCTGGGGGACTCCTATATGATTGTTTCTAGCTATATTGATGGCCGAAAACAGTCATATCGAAGTAGATCTGATCGGAAATGGCCAGATCTATTCTAGCCATTTTCGGCCAGATCGATGGCCAAATGCCGTTATTGGCCATATTTGGGTGAGATATGGTCGTTAACGGCCAGATCCATAACCGTTGACGATTAGATCTCAACCAGATTTGGCCGATAACAGTCACGGATCTAACCATTAACAACCAGATCTACTTCGATATGGTCATTTTCGGCTATCAATACGAGCATATCGGAGCCTCTCAATGACTCTCAGCCATTTTTAGCGACCCCGACGACTTTCTAGCAATGATCGACGATGGTTAGGGCTTAGGGTGATTTTGTTATAAATTAAAGTTTTATATAAACTAGGGTGTTTTAACTAAATCTGAAATGTTGAGGGTTAAAAGAATTATTCAAAAATTAATAATAAAAATAATATTATATTAATATTTAAAAGAGAACAACTTAATAATTTAAATAACATACTCACCAATTCATTCTCCCAACCAAACATATTAATATAACATATCCACCGATTTATTCCAACTAACCAAACACATTTTTCTAATTCCCAATAATCTTCAAAGTAATCTAACTTTCCAGTAATCCAACATTCTCTGAACCAAACGCATCCATAAGGTTTAACGGTAGTATTTGACTAAATTGTAAGTTGCCATCAATTTGATATTCATGAAAAGTCGGGTAGTTTTAAAATTCTCTCATTTTAAAAAAACGATATTCATTCAACGGCTACTTCTACTAAAGACTGATAATGTTAAAATCATCGCCCCCATCTCCAATTCCACTTCCGATAAGCAAAAACTTGGACGTTGACAAATCATAACGCAACTTACACATGAAATTTCTCATAAATCATAAATACTACCAGTATTTGAAAAACCTAACGCAACTTACATTGCATATCTTTAAATATGAAATTTCATCAGAGCAGTGAGGATGCGGTGATATAAGACGAAATCAGGCACGAGTACCCTGCAACCCAAACTAAAAGTCGCAGCCCTCTCTTCTGAAGAGAGATTTAAAGCTACTTCTCAGGTTTGCCCTTTTCAAATATAAGTTACATTTGGAATTTGGCCTTGTCAGCTCGCTTTCATAGCCAGGAGAATAAAGTACAACCTCGTCACCGAACCTTCCACCCAGGGAAAACATCCAAATTTCCAGTTGGTAATGCTTCACCATGCTATGCTGATGATAACAAGGAGTTTAGAGGTATCTGCCTTTATATATAATCGTAAGGCATTAAAACCTGTTTCCACCTTTCCTTTGCTCATCAGTGGGAAATAGAGGTGGTAAGACAAGGGACATCCTGCAGCATAATTCCTCATGAGCTCATTTGATTGCCACAAAGCTAAAGAAATTTAAGACATGATTAATTTTTTAGTAATAAATTTGGAGCTTGTACAGCCCAAAATCTCAAATTATTTTCTATATCCTCCAGTTTTCTTCACCAAATAGCCACAGCAGAGGGAGTCCTTGAAATGACATACCTTAAGAAATCTGAGCACTCAATGAAAGAATCTCCTGCGACATCGAGCAGATCCATGCTCCTCATAGTCAGCCTTGGTGACACACATTGCTTCAAAATCAGGACTGCATGCCAAAAGTGATCCTCCTCTCCATACACCTAATATGGGACTGGACACGCACAAAATTATTTACCAACTGGGAGCACTAGTTTTTTTTTCAAAGAAAAATTACTAGTGTCTTCACTTACTCTTCCTGAGTAGTTATCTTCACTTCATAGTCATCAGGGACAATAGGCCGTAGCTCCATTTCCCTGCAAAGCAAAACATATATATTTCCTGATGAGCCTCAACATTATTTCTCATTATAAACACATAAAGATTTGCGCTTACAGTCTCTCAGCAAAACGAGGAAATAAAGTGCTTCCACCGGTCAATATTATGCTGCCAAAATCCACAAAAATAAAATCAAAAAATGGAAATTTTATAAATTAAATATTTTTAAAGCTCAACACTTGAGGAGTTCAAGAAGCCACCTTTTATAAAGTACAGAATGCAGATAAGGGTGGCAAGAATTAACAGCTCGAACAATGCACTCAGCTAGTCCAGCCTGGTTCATTCCTGCAAAATAGTCCAAATTAGCACTTTTCCAAGAAAATATAAATAGCACCAGGCAAAATGGCAAATATGTTATTCTGTTCCAACTTCACCTCGGGAAATTTGTACAATTTCCATATTTTTCAAGCAAATTCCTCCCCTGGCTCATACTTTACCAAATTACTACAATAAATGTAGGAACATCAACATTACTAACATTGATACATACCCAAATCAGCAGGTTGAAAGATCATCTCCGGGACAAGGAATCGTTCGTTTGTCAAGTCAAACTCCTGTATAGATAACAAGGATGTGTAAATTAGTAAAGTTGGAAAGATGACTAAATTCAGAAAGAACCAGGGTTAATACATTTTTGGTCAGGTCGACTCTCTTTCTGTCCCTAGGCTCTTCTGCATCTTCCATCTGTTTTGTCTCTGATGGAGATCCATCACCAAAACTGAGATACCTCTGAGCCGCATCTGGGTCTTTAACATAGCCCTTCGTGTGTGTGATGCCATCAGGAAGAACATACGTGCACCTCAAGAGATTGTCCCTTCCTCGTTTCCTGTAAAATGTTCATATATGAACATAAATTATAAATGAACATACCTGATGTTTTCTATGAAACAAAGCACGCACACCTTGCATCCTATATAGTTTATTAACACCATCCAAAAATACAAAATTATTAGGAGTCTTTACACATGCTATCACTCTTATATAGCATAGTCCATAAACAAACACCCCACTTTAATCCTCGTCGATTTCACTAAACATACATGAAACAACATCCACGAATAAAAACTTCTATTTTATTTTATTATTGAAATGGAAAAGAATCTCATTTCTCTTTGAAGAAATAGAATATCAACCTGGCAATTTGAAGATCACGAGCGACATCAAGAGAGACAAAACACAATTTCTCCTTGACATCATCAATAATGAAAGTTTCATCCATAACGTTGACAGCGCGATACGAAACCAGCTCCTTCAAGTAATTGGTCAACGCTTTCCCACCCAAGTCAATCCTTTTCGCCGCGTAATTCATCGTGAAGTTCTGAAACACAGGCGCTGCATGCGTGAAACTGAATCCACAATCAACCACCAAGCTACATTGCGCCTTCGACACTAGTCCGTACGGTCTCCGACTCGCCTCGTAAAGATGCACTAAAGACGGCGAGTCCGCCACGAAAAACGACTTGAAGTTGAAGTCCTCAAAGACGAGCTCATCGGTGGCACGTTGAATAGAAGGGAGAGTGAAGAGCGGTTCGGTGAGTAAGAGAGATGATGTGGAGGGGTTAACGTGGAGGAGAGAGGAAAAGAGGTGGCCCCAGATGTCGCGCTGGAGGTCGGCGTTGATTAAATAACCGCGATCAATGGGACGGCGGACAGCGGCGGAGGTGAGGTCTTCGGTGGTGGAGCTGGTGATGGGAGATGGGTGAAGGAATTTTTTGGAGGATAAGGGACGGTAGAGACAGTTGGGGATTATGACAGCGGGGTCACGCTCGCTGCCTTGACCGGCTTTTATCAGGCCGCCACCGTTGTCGAGAACAACGACGTTTGACATGTCCGATGTCAAAGAGGAAGTGTAAATTTGAATGTGGATGTACAATACATATCGAAATGGGTCCTTGGGGCTTGTTAGGGTTTATTGGAACTTGGGAATAAGAAGAACCAACATTCAAGTAAATTCAGGAACTAGAATTATTCATGATGCCAACCTCTACAGGGTATTTGATTTTTGTGAGAAGAGAGAATTTTTTTTCCACTAGTTCATAATCTAACTTTCGTATTCTAGATAATCCGATATCATTATACAATATCATCTTTTCAAGGTTAATAACATATTATTTACTAGTCCATAATACCAAATAATAATAATAAGATTATTATTATTATTAAATAAATATATATATTTTTTTTATGATAAAGTGTTTGGGTCCGTTTACGCGCATCTTAATTAGTCTTTTAAGGATTTAAAATTGACATTCGAGTTAATCACCTCAACAACAACCTCTATTAACAACTTAGATGGATCGAACTCAGGACCTTTTAAATAATACACTAAAAAATCTTAATTAATCGCTGGTCACCTAATGATGGTTAAATAATTAAATATTATTTAAACATTATTTAAATAATTAAATATTATTTAAACACAAACTTAACATAAAAAAAAGCTGAGAAAATCCTAAATTTTGTATCCAAATGATATGCCTCAACATAAGACATTAATTTGCACATCAATATACCACAAGACTGCATATCATTTAAGATAAAAAAAAATTGGACATCATTTGATATGTATAATATTATTCTTTCATGTTTAATGGGATAACCTTAAAGAGAAAGCAATTTGGAGGTTTAGTCATTAAGATTTCAGCGTGATTTGCTCACAAGGCTTCTCCTAAAAGGTGTTATCATGATACTGATTGCTTGCTTTTGACAATCTGCACTCAACTAGGTGGACGGCATGAATGACCACCATCCAGACTAAAATCGGATGCTTTACGCTAGAAATGTTGAAAATGCATACCCTTCTAATGTATAACTATCAAGCATCCAAATCTATAGGCAACCAAGCTTTGTCTCAGTCTAAAACCACAAAACCTTCTGGCCAAACCAAGTTGAACTAGTCAGAAACGATTAACTAGAACAAAATCCAGTCAAAAGGACTTAGTCAGCTCAGGCAGTTGGAAAAACCTCATTTTCATTTTTAATCTAACGGTGTAAGCCTATCATGCCAAGAGAATTTGGCGCATTCAAACAAATGTTTTATACTCCTGCAAAGAGAGCTCCAAATTCCTGCTTGACAACGTTAGTTTCCACAAGCAAACTAAATTAGAGACGCACCTCTCAATCCACAATAATCTGAATAGCAATGTAGGCTGGAAAAAGAAGGGGATGGACAAACTTGTGGTTTAACAACTGTATATAAATATTATAAATCGTTGGAGAAACTGTAACAGATTCTCATCATTCACTATATTCGATATCAAATCCTGCATGCTTTACTCCATTGGATGCAGGTAAGTACACAAGAGTAAAGAAAATGGTGAAAAAAACATTATAAGATACGGAAAACCTTCCATGGGGGGAAGTATGTAGTAATGTGCAGCAAAGGCAACATCAGCCCTCCATAAAGACAGCCTACTCAATAGGGGGCATAGTAATACCCTCCAGGCTGCCCCATACCAGTGACCTGTGGCATTCCATAAGGCATCATTGATTGAGGATTAGGACCATAATAGCCAGGGTTACCAGCAATCTTGTTCAAACCTACTTGGCCTTGCATCCCATCCCTTCCATATTGCTGCCAGAGCTGCTGTTCCTGCACAAGAAACTGCTGCTTCCTCTCCATTTCTGCCATCTGCACATATGCAGGAGGTGGCACAGTAAGGGATGCTGCAAATGGATCCTCATTCCCCAACCTTTGGACAGTCCCATCAGGGGCAGGCAGTGCCAGCACTGGAGTAGAACTCTTTCCTGGCACAGGCAGTGTCACACTGCTTGCACTTCCACCACTCAGTTGAGTGGTATTCACATGCTGTCTTACTGCCCCTTGATCATACATGCCATTCAACAACAATGGATCAAAACCACCTGCATATGCAGCTTTCTGCTTTGATAGATTACTTGCAGATTCTGCCAGAGCTAATTCCCAATCTGCCTTACCGCTCTCAGCAGCTGGAGTTTGCCACGCAGAAGTCACCTCAGGCTCTCCATTTGAGGGGAATGCTTCCCACGAACCATTTTTATTCGTAGTTGGCGGCCCGGAGAACAAAGCTAAAGCCAGTTTGTTGCCTTGCTCATCAGCTGTAATTGCATCATCCTTCAAATTCAACAAATCCTCTGTTACCTGTTGACGCTGAGGTTTGGGTGCTTGTTGGGGCTCAGGTGGAGGTGGTGGAGGAGGAGTGTAACTCTCGGGTGGAGGAAGAGCCTTAACCTCATTAATATCTGGTTCCGGTTCTTCCTTAATAGAAGGTTTCTCCTCCCTAATTCTCTCAGGACTCTTTGGTCTGTTTGCCATCTCCTTCAAGAAACCATCAAGCGTCCCCAAAAGCTTATCAGTAATCCTCTGCACTTCTGGGAACTCAGATGATCTTGCAATCCCTATGTCCTTACACCAACCATAAAATCCCACAAGCTCATCAATCATCTTAGCTGCACTAACATAAGTATCAAAACCCTTAACACAGTCTGTATACTCCATCTCAGTAAATCTATCCAACAATACCCCCAATGCCTCACATATCTCAATATATAACCCAAAACTCTCCTTCACAACCAAATAAAGTGCAACAAGCACCAACCTGCTATTCTTGGCTGCACCTGTTGGCCTACAAGCCAAAACCCTATCAAGGATCCTCAGCAACTGATTCAACCTCCCTAATACCCTCTCAGGACTCATTTCTCTCATAGGAGTGGCCTCTTTTTTTTCCTCTCTTCTCACTGACTCATTCACATCACCATAAGATCTCGATCTCATCCCCATTCCACGATCAAAATCATCCTTAAACCTATCATCCTTCTCCTCAATTTTCCCATCCCCACCCAGTTTTTTCTTCTCATAAAAATCGAACTCCACCTTCTCATCCAAGTACATAGCATAAAACTTCACAAAACCACCATGATCCCACGAATTTGAATGGGCCTCATCTCTAAAGTCTGACATATTCAAAACCCTCATCCCTCTCCTCGTTGCATACACAATTTCCTCCCCAAACAGAAAATGCCCATCTAATAAAAGTCTGTGCACAAGCATGAGTGCCTTCACAGCCACAATCCAATCATGGGTTTTACTCAGTCTCTTTGATATAGTAGCAACACAAGCAGTAACATACCCTCTAGAATAACAAGTCATACTAACTATTTCCCTAATATACTTCTCATCAGCCGGTTCATCATCATGACTAGTGGCTTTAACAATCAAAACTTCAAGCTCTGGTGCAATGTTACCAGCCACTTTTGCCAAACTTATACTCGTTTGATCTTTCACTGCACCGATCGCTTTACGGATCGTGCTTGGAGCCATAGTTTTACAATACAAAGAAGAATAATTAAGCGTTTATCAAAAGAAATGTTTGGTTTGTACCAACCTTTTTGGCTTGGCGGATCTGAAGGAGAAATGGAGAATCGATTGACTTGGGTGACTAAAACCGACGGTGGAGATGAAGACTGTAGAATCGGATAAGCTGAGAACAGGCAGTGGATCTTAGAGCTAAACAAGTAGCAAATGTTTGTCGGTGTGCTGGATTGTTAATGCAGTTAAAGAGAGCGGCAAAGAAAGATGCGACAGTCACAAAAGTTTGCAAAAGCGCGTTAACAGGCGGAGAGTCCATCACCATCTACAAACGCAGTCGTTTTAGAAGCTTTTTGTAAAGACATGCGTAACGGTGGGGAATTATTTATTTACTATTTTCATATCATAATTATCCTTTTTCTAGTGATAAACTTTACCATTTTTAGTTGCTTTTCTTATCAAATTATCTCCAACAAAATTCAATTTTCTTAATATGTAAGCAACACACCATTCTCAATTATCCCTTATAATTATACCTCACACTCAACAGCTCTACCTTCTAAAACATGGAAATTAGATTAATTTTATAACCAGATTATATGATGCAAAATGAAAAATCAACTAAACAAAAGAATAAATTATATGTCAATCAGAAATTTTCTTTGTTGAAGATAAGAATCCGAGAATCACAAAAAGAGTGTTGTTACTATTTCCCTATGTTAATTGTCAAATCAATTATGATTATTTCAAAAAATATATATAATTATTGAATTAAATAATATAAATTATTTTCTCTAAACCAAATTAAAACAATTGAATCCATAAGTATAACAAAAATTATTTTATTATATATTAGCAAGGCACAAAGAATTCAATTTGAAACTTAATATAATATAGTTTTAATAAT